GGTGGAGGACGAGGAGGCGGGTTCGAGCCGCAGCCCCGCTCGGGGCCCCGAGCGCTGCCGCCTGCGCTTCCGCGGCTTCCGCTACCCCGAGGCCGGGGGGCCGCGCGAGGCGCTGCGCCGGCTCCGGCAGCTCTGCCGGCTGTGGCTGCGGCCCGAGACGCACAGCAAGGAGCAGATCGTGGAGCTGCTGGTGCTGGAGCAGTTCCTGGCCGTCCTGCCCGCGGAGCTGCGGGCCCGGGTGCGGGGACGGTGTCCGGAGAGCGGCGAGGAGGCCGTGGTGCTGCTGGAGGGTCCGCAGAGGCAGCTGGACGAGCCCAGGCCGCAGGTAGAGGAGAGGCTTAGCGTCCGAGAGCCGTGGTCTGCAGGCTCCCGGATTCTCGAGGGCGGAGTGGGGGGGGGGACATTCCTCTAAGATCCACATGTGCTCAGTCTCTCTGTGCACGGCGAAGCCCCTCGGCAGTCAGGTGAAGTCCCCGGACCCCTTCTCGTAATAACCTTTTTTAATGTATCGACGAAAACATAAAGGATTGCAAAGGATCTCCGTTATATCGGAATACAGTTAGTCGAGCGTTGGCCAAATTTGTGAGACAGTTACATGCGTGCTTTTTAAAAACGAACGCGCTAAATAGTAAGATCTAGGGACGGGCCTAATAACGGATCATGTCAAAGCATGGCAGGCACGAGTGACTTGGACAACATTTGCCGGGTTGTACTGTCCTGTGAAAACATCTGCAGTTTCTGTCGGTGACAGAGCCCTGGGTACGCTTGCGCCGACTTGCTTGCTTTGTCGCTTCGATATATGACGGAAGGAAATAAGGAAATGCGAGATTTCCCTTAGAGGCCAGTAACGAAAAGAATAGCGGTGGGTGACCTCGGACCAGTTCCATAAACTCTGTAGAATAGCTTTTCCATTACAGACATAACAGGCCACTTGGGAGGGAGCTCATGGGGTTGTGGTCTGCACTAAGCGAATTAACATTTATAAAGCCCGTAGAAATTGTGCCCGGAAAAGAGACGGTACTAGCACATATAGAGCACGATAGGAGGGTTTGATGAATGCATAAACGAGTGACTTCTAGGTCCCAGGTGGTGACCAGGGGCAACGGCTCTGTTCCAAGATGGCAGTGTTGACACCGGCTCGGAGGTCCCGAAGTCCCCAGTTCCAGCCGGTGAAGGCGCTGCTCGAGCGTGAATCTGTGGGACCCCAGCCCTCCGCCGACGGAGGTGAGGATTAACTCCCGAGCGGTATGAATTCTGTCGCCTCGATCGAGTTTCACGTCAGGGTCCCCGTCACAGATCTTCTTCCCTGTGACACTGAGACTAAAAGGGAAGTTTCACACAGTGTGCACAGCTTTCCTATCCCGACCTGGACTCAGTAAGTCAGACTTTATTGACATTTGCATTTGGAAAGAATCGATTTTCCAACAAGACAGCGCTCTCCATCCGTTTAACACGAGCGAATGGAGCCCCCTATGTGGTGGCCCGCACGGTAGACACCGGGGACAGATTTGTCAGTGAGATGTTTTTCTCGCTGCGATGGACCTTACGTTCTGTCGGGGAAGACAGCAGATAGGTTAACGATACAATTTCAGACATTGCTAAATGGCGTGAAGAAAACAAGGCCGAATCGGCAAAGCCAGCCAGGGCATTACAGAGGTTGTCGGGCTGCTGTAGCGAGGAGAGTGTGACCTGCTAAGCCCGTGGCCGGTAACTAGAGCAGGGGGACACCACTCAGTGGGAAACCGGTCCCCGCTCCCAGCGTCCCCTGTGCTGTGACGTGAGGGCGATTCCCGACACACACGCACTGGGACACGCCAGTCATTGTCAATTTTGTTTCTCAGCAGAGGTTCTAGCCTGAACTCTGTGAGTTCGCCTCTCATAGGAGACCCTGAAGTTCCCCTTCCTTCTCTCAAAACTGAGGGAGTTCTCTGTTAGCAGACACCCATTTCCTCCTTTCTGGGCCCAGCCTTGGCTGGCACCTCTTTGTACATTCTCGTTTGTACCCTTCCCCCTGCGGCACCCTTATTCTCCCTCCTTTTCATGTCTTTACTCTCGTGCCTAAACCCTCATCACCCTCTGTAAATCTTGCGTCCCGGGACGCCTCAGACAACTCTCCTCCGTGGCAGTGCGTAATTGACCGGCGCTGGCCATTTGTCATTTCAGGTGGCGAAATGCAGACTAAGATCAGGGACTTGCCTCTAGGTGAGGAGCACCCAGAACAGGAGCCCGGGCAGACACCGTGCCACCTGGGCGAAGCCATCACCCAGCTACACACCTGTGCAGAAGCTGGAGAGCGGGAGGGCAGCTTACAAAGGAAGCAGAAAATCACCACCGGGAAGAGGCGGCACGTTTGCCATGAATGTGGAAAGAGTTTTGCTCAGAGCTCAGGCCTGACTAAGCACAGGAGAATCCACACGGGCGAGAAACCCTACGAATGTGAGGAGTGCGGCAAGTCCTTCATCGGGAGCTCTGCCCTCATCATTCATCAGAGAGTCCACACTGGTGAGAAACCCTATGAGTGTGACGAATGTGGCAAGGTCTTCAGTCACAGCTCAAACCTCATCAAGCACCAGAGAACTCACACTGGGGAGAAGCCCTACGAGTGTGAGGACTGCGGGAAGGCCTTCAGCCAGAGCTGCAGCCTCCTCGAACATCACAGAATCCACACGGGGGAGAAGCCATATCAGTGCAACACATGCGGCAAGGCCTTTAGGCGGAATTCGCATCTCCTGAGACATCGGAGGGTCCACGGTGATAAGGATGTTCAGGATCCGGAACGTGGAGGGACTTGGGAGAATCAGGGGAGGGTGGAGAGGTCCGAGGGGAGTGTTGAGGCCCTCGTGTCTTACACATGTGATGAGTGTGAGAGGAGTTTCACTAGGAGCAGGAGCCTTATCGAACATCAGAAAATCCACACAGGCGAGAAACCCTATCAGTGTGACGCGTGTGGAAAAGGCTTCGCCCGAACTTCATACCTTGTTCAGCATCAGAGAAGCCACGGTGGGAAAAAAATTCTGTCCCGGTGACACAGGTCTTACATGCCAGCGTTGGTGCTCATTCCTCACTGAGGTGACACTGCCCGGGAGGCCTTCCTGAGTGCAGGAATTGTGGGCCGGGGCCATTCTGACCACCGCATGGCAACAGGCACGTGAGAAAGCACTGAGTGTGGCTTAGGTGCATTGTCTTCTACATTTGAGAAGGTGGCTGGGAAAATTGTTTGAAAGGAGGCTGTGGAGAGTTCTCTGTGGGAAGTAGGACCCGAAATGGTTTGCTCTCAGCTGTTGGACTTCAAGGGCTTCCAGACTGGCTCATGCCCCTTAGCAGTCACTTAATGATATGTCCTGGGTCAGTGGCTCTGGCTTGGGGCCTGCCGCTCCGACTGCTTTGGCCTACAGAATCCGTCACCAGTGAGTGGATCAGTGACATCTTACCCCACATTGTGCCTCACATGCAGGTGCTACAAACATTTATTAAATGTACTGGTGCATCGACCTTCCTGTCTCTGAAAATCTGGTATCTAGATTTCTGAGGAATTTCTAACTGAGGCCATTTTTGTTTGTGTTTATTTTTTGAAGTCTAGATTCTGGGTCAGTCTAATGTATTTTTTGCCAAGTACATAGGACTGGCAGAGTCGGGGTGGAAGAACCCTTATTTCCTCACCAGCATTTTCGTCACTTACAGTAAGAATGCCTTAAACAGCTTCTTTATCATTAAGACGTTTTGAGACCACTCCATCCATACAGCTCGGTTCTTTAATCAACATGAATTACATTTGTTCCCATTAATTTTGCTACTCTTGAGGGGGAAATTATTCACATTCAGGTAAAAAAAAATGTCAAATTTTCACGTCAGATAAAAATGATTATGGATTTTGATGTAAATTCTATGATGTTCAACAAGTTGTTTCTCACTTTTTAGTTATCTTGGCCCTCACCAAGTGCCAAGACACCATCTGTATCCCTCTTTTCCAACTGAGCCAACAGTGTATCCAGGCTTATGCTAGCTAAACTTAAACTTCCTCCAGGTCAGAGGAGTCAAACCAGATATCTATAACAAGTATCATTCTTGTTCTCAACACTGCCCTGTGATAGGAAGATGGGGTCAGAGGCAACCAATGAGGACAGGAACCCATTGGGGTAGAGAAGCACAGTGAGAATCCCAACTATCCAAAAAAACAGCTCCACAACATCCACAGTATCAACGTAAATAATCAAGGCTATGCTGTGAGTTATAATGATTTTGTGGTATCTCCTGAACCCAAATCACCTTCTACTCAGTGCTTTAGACTATCTTCTTTCTAGAGGCCTGAGTGCCTAACACTTGCTCCTATCTTTACCCTGCTGTGCCAAGAGTGGATTCTGCTTCTGATGAAACCCCTGGCCACGTGTTGTTCTTATCTGCCCCTGGCACCCTTCTGGATTTCTGCTCTGAAGTACCACAGGCCAAGGGGCTTTAAGACCACAGGGCCTTCCCTGCATCTTTCATTGCCTTCACTACCCTCCATTACAGTCTGACTTAAAACTTTAGCTTTTCACATTTCTATAGACTTTCTCCACTTAACTCTTCCCTAGCCTTTTAGCATTTCCTTTTAAATTAACCTCAGTTTTGTTACCTCCACAAATCAGTCATTTCCTCTTTATTTTTCAGAAATATTTGCTAATGGCCCTAATTTTAAACTGTTCATTTTTCTTTGGAGTTTGTTTCTTGTATTATGTGAAGAGACATATGAAAGCCTTTTGCAAACCAGAAAGGATTATTTATACATATGTAACTTACTAAAATTAACAAAAGACCACTGTGCTTCCTTTTACTCTTTTCTGCTCTTTTGAGCCCAAGATTTCTCTGTACAGGACAGAATACTTTTGAGTATCTATGTTCTTGACAGTGTAAGGGATAAAGTACACACACGCACATGCACTCTTGAGCTGAGGCTCAAGTACAATTACGTTGGTGAGACCTGGACAGAAAATAACGCCGTGCCGTGATAAACAACTCATAAGTGGCAAACTGAAGGCACTTCAGAGGGGAAGGTCACTTCTGGTCATGTGCTGCTACCACATGGACAAGGTGAGGTGTCAGTTGACAAGACTAAAAGAGTTCATCAAATTTAGTAAATAAGACAAGTTTGAAGAGGTAGGTACATTGCAGAAGGCTTCAATGCCACAGCAAGTTTAAATTTTATGCAGTGAGCACCAGGGAGCCACTCACAGTTTACGGTAAAAATATATCTAAGAAACTGTCAGTATTACGTAATTTCAAATAAAATTAATTTGCTGATAGTCTTGTAGATATGACACATGTATAAAACAAAGGTGTGTTTATCAGTAAGTGAATTATTAAATGGGTTCATTTTTAGACTTAAATAGCCTAAAAGAATGGCCAAAAATATATTTTTTCAGGTGAAATTAGATGCAGTAAAATAAGCTGCTTGACATATAAGGCAGTACATAAAGTGGAACAAATTGCCACTTTTCATGCTTTTTAAATGTTTTTAAGAATTTTAGTTGTCAGCCATTCTACTTCTTTTCTCAACTGCAGCAACGCAGAATCCATTTCCTTTTCTTCTGCTTGTGTGAACAGGCAGCTGATTTATAGGGTAATTTTTCTACGTGGGTAGAAGTAGTAGTTATAACGAAAAGAGCTTTTCATGAGTAGCATCCTAGATGTGTTCTTAACTTTGGTAAAGATGCATATGAGCCTGCAAAAGAGATTGTTTCTCTGCCTTCTCTTTTAGAGGGAAAAAAATAGGAGTGACAACTTACCTCACAGGGTTGTGAGGATCTGCTTATTCGAACAAGTGCTGTGTAAAAGTAGTCCTTATGTTGGAATGACAACTGTTTAATAACAAAGACCATCTTTAAAACGAGTCCTGTAACTGGCAGTCTTGCTCTTACCTTGTAACATCCCAAATCATGAGTGTGGTCCCAGCTCAATTATTCATGAGAACTTTATCCACTAAGTAAACTCAATTTATCAACTTTTCTCTAATCCTTTTTATTGTCTTATTTTTCCTAATATGCCAAAATAAGGTCTGAAGAATTCAACTGATGAAACTTTTTTTCCCATCAGCTTTGTATACTTTCAAATGGAGTTGCTACTACAGAAACATTTTGGGATGACTACTTTTCCTGTGAACTTTTTTGTTGACATAACGCTTTTATTGCAAAAATATACTTTCAATTCTGCACCTACTCACTTTTCTCACTTTGTTTCTGGCCTTGGCAATCCCTCTGTATTTATATCGTCAATCTAAGACCATGGATTTTGAAAACAGCAAGAGTTCCTAGTGTCTTTTCCCAATTAATGGCTGAACACTATGACATATGCCTACCTGTTCCGTGTATTTTATTAGGAATTGGGTCACATCCAAAAGAATAAATCTACTGTACACCTTTCCAAATCCTTTTTATTGCAATTTCTAAAGTACTTTAAGATTTTCAAGGGTCTATGAAAAAAAGAAACCTAAACAATCCTAACCTCAGTTATTTGTATAAACACAATCAACCATGCCATTTAGTCCTTTATGTGAATTTTTTTGAATTTTTATTATTGATTTTATTCCTTTTCCGGCTTGTGAATTCTTAAACAGATAACACACTGCATTATTTCTAAGCTGTCAGAAAATAACTAAAGTTTTGAGTATTAATACATTAAAACTTTAATCGTTTTCTCTCCTCTGTTCTCCCAGCAGTTCTGGGAAATAGAATCTGTAGCCTTCCAGACTGCTTATAGCAGAAGGTACAGAGGCGCTGGCTTGGGGCTGGGACACAGTGGGTAAACGACCAGCTCACCAGTGTCTCCACAGCAGCTAGCAGAGTTCCTATTAAATGCGTGAGCCTAGAAATTGATTAATCCAACTTACTATTTTGCATTAAATCAAGATTCCTGGACATGTACTGCTAGAATCCAAAGCATTTACATGCCCGCATGGTGACTATAATTAATACTGTATTACATATTTAAAAGTTGCTGAGATCTTAAAAGGTCTCACCAGAAGAAAAATTCTGTAACTACATATGGTGACAGATGTCAACTAGACTTACTGATCATTTTTCAACCTACACAAATATCGAATCATGTTGCATACCTGAAACTAATGTAGTATGTCAATTACAACTCAATTAATAAAATGAACCTGCAGTCTTCCACGTTCCCTCTTTCAGAAGATGGACTCTAATCCTGCTCCTCTTAAATATACATGGACTATATGACTGGTTTCTGACAAAGGAAATGTGGCAATAGTGATGCTATGCAATTTACAAGGCCAAGTCATGAGAATAGTTTCTTCCTCTCTCTCGCTCCTGAGGAAGACAGCCACCATGCCTGAGGACACTCCACAAGTCTGCTGAGAAGCCAGCCTTGGGGGGAACCACATGAGTGAACCATATTAAATGGATACTCCAGCCCCAGTCAAGCCTTCAAATGACAGCTCCCTCGACCAACACCTTGGCTGCAACCTAAGAGATTTCAGGCCAGAAACATTCGGCTAAAACCCATAGAAAAGGTAGTGGAAAATAAATTACCTAAATTTGGAGGTAATTTGGTCCTCATCAATAGATACACATTCTCTGAAACTGTTTTACCTGTTAAAGGGTAGTTGACATGCACCCTGCCAAGCTGTTAGGAGGGTTAGGTGAGAAGAGCAGATGTTTTACTGGTTTATTGAACAGTCTGAATCAAGCAGAATACAAACGTGAAACAGTTTTATTTATTTTCCATTTGAAGCTTTCAGCTGTACTAAAGCTGTACTGAGCTTCCCAAGAACAACAGTGAACACTCACACAGTCTATAGCATGCTTTCAGATCCAAGACCACATTTAATCCTCAGTATCACCCTCGGAGATTTGATTACAATCATTATTTCATTAGATAGAAAAATGAAGGTGAAGGGAAGATCTAAGATCCTTTCGCATGTGGGTGAGACGACGGGCCCAAGAATCCACAGATCGCCGAGAGAAGCCCTCTGCTCACACCCAGGCAGTGCATGTACACCAGGCCTGTGTGTCTCCAAAGTGTCAAGAAGTGCCAGCAGCTGAATTCCAGCTTGACCGAACCCGTGGCCAACATCAAGAGATCGGAATCTGGGGGTTGGGGAGGAGGAAAGAAAGGATAGAGAGCCACAGAATATGCATCTTTAACAGGCTCCCCAGCGATGTGAATACACTGCAACATTTGAGAGTCAATAAATTAAGGGAAAGGGATAGGAAACCGTCACGTTCTACACTTAAAACCGGCCCACTCGACACCCCTTAACTTGCTTTTAGAACCAAACGGTGAGAAATTTCAATTTCAAAACATCCTCGACAGCGAAAACATTTCCCCAGACACCAGGCGTTTCCTACCCCGAGTCCTAATCCTAATGCATGTTACTTACCAAGGTGCCCCCACACCCTAGCAATTCTCTCACAGCCGGGACGCCTACCCTGGTCTAGGGGCGCGGGGCCGAGACCCTCCCCTCTCTGCCCCAATCTCCCGAGGCCCTTTCTCACACACCCACCCTATTCTGGGTTCCAGAGGCCGACTCACGAGCCTGGAAAAGGCGAGGAAGGAGAAGATGGACTCAAACACAGTCGGAACCTGCGCGCAGAATTGAACAATGGCCCACGGTGGTGGCGAACACATCCAAACAACCCGCGGCCGAGCAAGGTACTTCCGGCTGCTCTAGGGTTGCGCATCTCGTTTCCAAGTCCGGCCGCTCTAGGCCTCCGCACCTCGTTTCCCACCGCCGGTCGCTCTAGGGTTCCATTTCTCGTCTCTCGCTCCCCCCCGCCGCGACCGCTCTAGAACTCCACATCTCTCCCACCGCCGGCCGCTCTAGGGCTTTGCGTCTCCTGTCCCACGTCCGGCCACTCTAGGACTTCGCTATTTCGTGTCCCACCGCCATTTCTTCTAGCGTTTTGCCTCTCGTTTCCTACCGCACGCCGCTCTAGGACTACACATCTCTTTTTCTACGACCGATTGCTTTAGGGTCTGGCCGCGTTTCCTTTAGCATTCCGCGTCTCATCCCACGTCCGGCCGTTCAAGGACTTTTTTTTATCTCGTTTCCCATTGCTGGTCTCTCTAGGGTTCCACTTCTCGTTCCCCCTACCCCGGCCGCTCTAGCGCTCCAAGTCTCGTTTACCATCGTTGCCCGCTCTAGCATTCCGCATCTCGTGTCCTATCGCCGGCCGCTCTAGGATTCCACATCTCGTTTTCCAGTGGCCGTTCTAGGATTCCGCGTCTCGTTTCCCACTGGCGTTCCCTCTGACGTTTCGCGTCTCGTTTTCCATCGCCGGTCGCTCTAGCGTTTTGCGTCTCATTCTCCCTACCCCGGCCGCTCTAGGACTCCGTACCTCGTCTCCCACTGCCGTTCCCTCTAACGTTTCGAGTTTCTCGTCGCCGGTCGCTCTAGGAGTCCGCGTCTCGTTTCCTATGTCAGGCCGTTCTAGGACTCCGTGTCTCGTTTCCCATGTCAGGCCGTTCTAGGACTCCGCATCTCGTTTCCCATCGCCGGTCGCTCTAGCGTTTTGCGTCTCATTCCCTCTACCCCGGCCGCTCTAGGACTCCGCGCCTCGTCTCCCACTGCCGTTCCTTCTAACGTTTCGCGATTCCCATTGCCGGTCGCTCTAGGATTCCGCGTCTCGTTTCCCATATCAGGCCGTTCTAGGACTCCGCATCTCGTTTCCCGTCGCCTGTCGCTCTAGGGTTCCATGTCTCGTTCCCCTCTCCATCCCCACCACCCACCCCCTGCCGCTCTAGCATTCGGCACGTCGTCGCCTACCGCCGTCCGCTCTAGTTCTCCGCATCTAGTTTTCCACCGTCTGTGCTCACCTCACCTGGAGTAAACTCCCATTTCTTTGGCATCCAGTTCTTTTTCGAAGTGAATCACATAATCAGAATTTTAAACGTGTGTGAGACCCGTACAGATTTTAAACTGAAAACACAGGTGAAGCATAGACCATTACCTATTGAAAATACTTCTTAGAAAAATAGAATACCTACGTTTAAAAAAAAAAAAATCCTTCAGACAATGCCAAAATTAATAAATTATAAGTTGAAATTCCACCCTGTCCCTCCTTAGTCTCATCTATCTCCCCTGAGGTAGTAGTCACTGTCACTGTTAGCTTGGAATTTGAATAATTCTGATCTCTCTCTAGCGAGACAAAGGGTGAGGGGGATAGGAATTAGGCTATTTTACATTTAGTTTTTCTCCATCACTTACTTTAACGTTTTCACTTCATATCTTAGACATCTTTATAAGTCACGTAGGTCTATCTCATTTAGTGGCATCAAATACAATTTATCCAGGCCACTACATACTGGTAGACTTTTCTTTCTCTTCATTCTATTTTTTCATACAGAATAATTTTTTTAAAAAAATCAGTCCCAAACATTAAATTAGCTTTATTGCTATAAAAGAGAGTAATTATAAGTGCTGTTATTCATCAATTTTATTATGCCAACCAGAATGGAGATATTGCATAGATCAAACTTTTAACAGAACCTCATCATTTAACGCAGCAATAAGTTATCTCGTGTGTTAATGAGGTTCCCTGGTGTGTTTTAACTCCAAAACTAGTTATGTAAATTTCTATTTTCCTTAACCTAGCCATCTGAGGGCATTAAATAGACTAAAGCTTCATCCTTCACTTCGACTTCTTACAAATATCCAATAAGTCTGTAGACATTAAGAGCACTAGCATGAAGAAAATGTGCTCAAAATCCTGATCACTTTTTCCAACATACGTCACTTTTGAAACCTCCAGTACAGACTTCTCTAACAAAGTGAATAATGGGGGTAAATGCTCAACTTTTCTTGGACTTGATTAAACTGTTTATATGTTATTCTCTCCCATTTTGGAGACCCATCTGCAACAAGCAAACAGCTCTCATATTTGTATGAAACTCAAACGTGTGACAGCTGACTAGGTCCCCCACCTGGTTTTGTGTGTGCTAATTAAGTAAGTCAACCACAGGACTCGGGCACACTCCAGCCCAGGGTCAAGAGAACAGCCGGCTGGACTTCCCTGTAGTCAAACAGCTCTGAGGAGGACTGGCTCCCACTTGTCTGTTTGGAAGGTTCACCTACAGCAGCACCTTGATAAGTGTCCTGGGGGAGAGGGATTATTTTAAACTTAGAATTGAGAAATTCTACTCTACTGAAAATATTTTCGGCACTCAGCAGAGACAGGAAGAAATGCTGACTACAAAACCAACTAAAAGATGGTTACTTGGATCAGAAAACAAGCACTGGGAGGCTGACATGGCCGTGGATTAATTATGTCATAAGATCAAAGGGGAGAAAGACAAAGACTTGGAGGCTTGGAAACAGCCTGCGGGAACGAGCTCACATGTGGACAGACCCAAGTTACAAACGTTTGCATCCCATCTGAATCTCCACTAACCCACTGTCAAGGGTTTCAGTGAGCAACGGACAGGCTGATCTGCCCGACAGATGTCAGCAACTGTTTTCTCAGCATTTGCTCGTTTTTGAACACAGTGATCATTGCTAACAGAGCGGAGGGTGTGCACAGGCTCAAAAAAAGAAAATCTTTTCTTTCACTAAGACAAACCCCAACACCACCACGGTTAAGGGGCCAGTTTGCAAGAGTCCAAACCAATCCTGAACCTTAGGTATGGTGAAGTGTCCCAGTGGAAACCACCGTCACCTGCCGGCAGGTTGACCACATGAGACCCCCTGATGGAGGACAGCTTTGCTTCAGAGCACTCCGGCTGTTTGGGGTTTGGCGTGGCTCTCCCTGCTGCCCGGCCTCTGTCACACCCACCTGATGAAAGCTCTGGTCACGCCAGCCCCAGTTCAGCTAGGCATCAAAACGGAGTGACTTCCCCCTAATCTCCATTCCAATCGGGTTCTTCTGACTCCCTTCCCATCCTTCGATGATACTTTGGGCAGATCCTACAGCTTTCTGTACTAAAGATTCCATTCAGTTTGTTTTTAATTAAAAAACATTACTTATTGAATAAGTTATATAGCCACAGGTTCAAAATACAAAAAGTACACACGGGCATACCTTGAAAATTCTCCCTGATTTTTCTCCTGTTGAGTTTGATGGTATGGTAGTTCCACGGGAAAATGTTCTACCTTTCACAGACGGGTACTGAGTTATTCAAGGCCACTATATCGTGGTGTCTGTGATGTGCTTTAAAATCCAGCACCCCGAAGTCCCGCTCCCCGCTTCCAGTCTCCCTTCCACTCCCCGGACGGAACCACTCCCCTCACGGCGTCTCAGCGGCCCGCTCCTCGCTCTGCGGAGGGACCGCCCGCCGCAGGGATGGGCCGCCGTTCGCTTATCTGTTCACCGAGTGCCGGACATTTGGGTCGCTTCCCAGCTTATGAATAAAACTGCTATGAACATCCACTTACAGGGGGACATGTGCTCATTCTCCCGAGTAAATGGGCGAGGAGGATCGCGGGCCACGGGTACGTTTAACTCCGCAAGAAGCTGCCGAGTGGCCGCGCGGCTCGCACGGCCCCCGCCAAGGCACGGACGCGGCTGCACTGCGGCCTCCTTCACGCCGTTAGGTTCTTTCAAAAAGAATTTTAGCCATTCTCAGAGGTGTGCAGTGGTATTTTGTTATGATTTTAACTTAATTCCCCTCATGGCTAATGACACTGATGTCTTTTCATGCCACCTATTTATTTTCTTTGCTGAGGTCAAAATTTCAAATCTTTAAATGGGGGACTGTGATTGTCCTCCCAGTGCTGAGTTGTGAGAGTTCTTTACATAAGTCTGGATACAAGTTGTATTATCAGGTACGAGCTCTGCAAGTATTTTCTCCCAGTATGAGGCTTGTCTTTTTATTTTTAACAGTGCTTTTCAAAGAAGTTTTTTATTTTGATAAAGTTCAAGTTCTCTATTTTTCTTTCATGGTTCGTGTTTTCTGTGTCCTATTTTTTAAAATATCTACCTCGAACTTATATAGATTTTCTTTCTTTCTTTTTTTTTTTTAGAAATGTCGGTTTCAGGTTTCTCTTGTCTGAATCTTCGTAATTTCTGCACACGGTGTGAGGCGAGGATGCGGTCTTGCCTTCTCCCCTGGGGCTGCTCCCGTAGCGCATTCTCCTTGGTCACTGGGAACCTCTCGTCTCCCCCAGAAGCACTGATTCTGAAACACGATCTTCCCGTCTCCCCTTCTCCCCGTGGCCAAGAGCTCACTCTCCCTCCAGGACTTCACTGCCCGCCGGAGCCTGTCCAACCCCTTGTGGGCACGGCGCACCTTCAGTACAAACCCAGCGGCTTTACCACTGTGATGGTTTCGTACCAACTCCCGTCCCCAAACAGGCTGGAAGCCCCCGGGGGAGGGGCTTCTGCATTTACCTTTAAGTTCCCAGTACCTGGCACGAGGCCCAAACCAGATGAGCACTAACGCCTTCATCTAAGCCCACAAAGGATGACTGTGTTGCATGCGGCCTGCTTTCCTAAGGCTAAATTCTTCAGTAAAAGACATTCTTTTTCCAGAACGTCTGCTCCTTCAGTCTTCGGGGTGCTCACCACTTACTGCTAACAGCTCAGCTGCGCTGCTTTGGGGCGGGACACGGCATCGCTGCGGTGCTGACACCAGAGGGTGTTTGTTCTCCACCTAGAAGATGGTCTGCAAACCTCCATCCTGGGAACAAACCAGACAGTTGGGGCCAAAGAGGTGAACGCTGAAGTCTCAGACGCCCCACGCAGACATGGGTGACAGGCAACTCCCTCCACTGCAGACGGGAGAAGCCAGTCCCCTTCAGTTCCACGGGCAGGAAGAAACAGGGCAAAGGGATCTCTTTCCTGAGTCTCACAGGTGTGTACATGGGTCTTGGTCTCCGTCCTGGGGACAGGGTTAGGGAGTCAGGGTGCAGCCGGCATTTCCAGACACAGCAACGATGTTTTCCAAACTGAACTCATGAACTTCCTACCACCTCTAAAATATGAGCTCCCCTGGGTGATATATGAGGCACCAAGCTTCACGCAGTCTCCCAAACAGGTCCTTGGAAGTCACCCTGAAACCAGTGCCAACCCGAACTCAACAAAAGGTCCCCAAGCCTGTCTCTCTCATACCTCAGATGCTGAGAAACGCTGAACACTGAACAGTCCCTGAGAGGTTGGGTTCTGTTTGTTTTGGTTCAGGAAGCTCAGTCAAGTTCAGGGGGTAGTCGGATCCAAAGGCCTGGGGCTCTGTTGACGAAGCAAGAACCACCCTGAGGAATTTCTATTAGGGTTAGTACCTGAGCAGTGACCGTCCACCCTCTGCCAGGAGGCGACTGTCTCCCCTCCCCGCGATGACCCGAGCACGCCGTGTTACCGCAAAGGCGAAGAAGGGACGACCAGCGGGGCAGTGTCTCCGGGTCAGTGCGGGAGGGTGTGTGGCCCCCTCACCAGCCGACATTACCACCAGCTTCGAGAGTCAGTACGTTTCCCACAACACTGGTAGCGGCAGTAACGAAAGGCTCGTACTAAAGAATAACAAAAACGGTGTTTGAGTATCAACGTTTGCCCTCACTAGACCCAGACTTCGAGGTACCTGAGCGCTTTACACCTTGACTTAGGAAACGGCCCCCCACAACTGGGTGTGTTTCTGGAGGCTCGGTCACCATTCTGAGTCGCTTCGAACACTGCGAGGGCCAGGTGGCCACTAAAACAGGATCGTGTGCCATGCTTTCTCTCGACGCATCTTCTGATGTAAAGGTCTTTGGAATGCCTTCGGCGCGCAGGCTGCCGCGGACCCCTGCGGCGTCTGGCCTGGTGCTGCGTGAGGCCTGCCCACGCGCGTCGCCTGCCTGCGACTCCTCGCCAGCGTGGGCTCCCCGGTGAGGAGCTGGGGCTGGGATCTGGCTGACGGCTTTCCAGCACTCTCCACACGCACAGGGCTTCTCCCCAGTGAGTCCTCTGATATCTGATGGGGGTCAAGCTCACGCCGACGGCTTTCCCACACGCGTTCCAAGTGCAGGGCTTCTCGCCAGCCTGGGTCCTCTGACGTCCAACGAGGCCGGAGCTCGTCCCACACTCACCGCCTTTATGCGATGGTTCTCTGCGGTCCTGTCCTCACACCTTTCTGACCAGTCCACATGCTGAGAGGCTTTTGCAGACTCAGGAGTCTGGAAAGTCTCCGCTTTCTGTATGCGGGGGGCCTGCTGGTGCGGGTCCATCCTTACGAAAATCTCCCCTTCAAAATCGACGCCTTGTTCCTACCCCTGACCTTGAGTCCCAAAATAAACGAACTTTTCAAATGTACTTTATTCCCTGCTTCTAAAGCAACATGATGTGATACCAGCTTAACGGGGCTCTCAAGAGTGTGGGGACCCCACCCCCCATTAATCGCACGGCAGCCAGATCGAACGTGTCTGTTCCAGCCACGTCACAGAATAATTAGAATAAACGCCCGACTCAAATAGCTATTTAAATGTACTCTTTATAAAAGTATCTAAAGCACAGAATCTGGGATATGAGTGAACGTAAAAGTAACATGTAGTTAATACTTAAAAAGACTTTCCATGTTTCATTAAATTGGGAAATGACAAACTGGGAACTGAAGAGAGGTGTAGATGGAGGGCGGATGGAGCACAGGAATAGAGAAGGCCGAATCAGAAACTCCACCGATAAGAAATGAATTTGGAAAAATGACGATATCATTTGCAGGGGTGTTTCAGCTACCTGGGCTGGCACACAGACGTGCGGTCCAGAAGTCCAGCCTGCTGCACGATCACGGCCGCGGCAGATGCTGTGACAGCATCTTAGCAGAGGGACGCCGTCTCCTCGGACGGAACAGACCCTTCGCCTCTCTGAACAGGGGGGCTCCTGCAGCCCACGCCGCCTGAGTCAGAGCCGTGTGTGCAGAACCTGGCGGGCTGCTGCCCCTCTCTCATCCCCTGGGGACGAACCCAGTTGTCTCTGAACTTAATACAATTTTTACTCTAAACTCAAATTACACCAATTATTCCCTCTCTCCCTTTTTCCGTTTCACGGACTGTTTCATGTCTCACCAGTGGTAAGTCAAACTGACGGTGCGCACCCTCGATATGAGAATGGCACTTCCCCTCTGTGGCCCTCCCCAAAACCTACAGCCTCAGTCAAGTAATGAGAAAAGCATCAGTCAGATCCCGACGGACGGGCATTCTACAAACAGCCTGACAAGCACTCCCGACACTGTCAAGGTCATCAAAAGCAAAAAGAAGTCTGAGAAACTGTCACAGCCATGGAGACGTGACAATTAAATGGAACATGGTTTCCTGGAGGGGACACTGGAACAGGAAAAAGGCGTTACGTAAAAACTAAGGAAACGTGAAGGAAGTGAGGGCGCTAACAGTTAACAGTGATCCAACAATTGTGACAAACGTACTGCGCTGACAGGGGCCGGCCACGCGGAAGCGGGCTGCAGGGAGGTGGGCATGCGCTGGGCTCTCGTCAGTTTTTCTGTGACTCTAACATGCCCAGAGTGCCCAGAAACTATTCTAACAATTTACTTGAAAATCTAAGTTTCTGATTAGGCAGTACACTATTTAAAAGCTGAACACTTAAATTCAGGCATATGGAGAGGAGTCCTGCTCCCCCCGTCCCCTTCGACTTACCACCCGGGTAGGTGATCACGTTCGTCAGTCTGTGTCTCCCCAGTTATACTTAAATAGGCATATGGAGAGGAGTCCTGCTCCCCCCGTTCCCTTCAACTTACCACCCGGGTCGGTGATCACGTTCGTCAGTCTGTGTCTCCCCAGTTCCTTTACACAATCGTGTGTATTTTCTTATGCCTCCGACTTCCTTGCTCCAGTTGGGTGGGTGGAAGGCAGGCTGCCCACAAATCAGTCATAGGTTTGTTGTGACATGGACACTGTACCCTTCACGGCCTTCTTAGTGATGCTGTTCTATCGAGTGTCTCTGAACAGCAGCTCTTGGCAACCCCGAGAAAGGCTCACAGTGCAGCAGGAGTCACATGCACACGAATTCTTGCCGAGTCCAGAAACACGGTCACCATGGAAACATGGCACCGCTGCTCTACCCTATTAGGAAAACATGGAGGCCCTCTAGTCTGACTGGCACCTGCGGGCCTGAGGCTCACTCACAGGAGAATTGCCCTGCCCTGTCCTGTCCCTGCCTGAGTAGCTCTCAACATCACATCCCCCTCACAGCCCCAACCTGTGGCTACCCACTCCCCAGCTACTAAGGACACCCACAGTGTTTTCTGAATAAATTACCTCAGGCTACAGATACATATGAAAAACCCCTCTGGGTTGTTGTCAGATACCCCTGAATTAACATTTTTAACTTCAAAGAAAAGCCATCATGAAAGATGAACATCTGCTCTCGTCCTTTAAACAGAAGGAAAAGGCTGGAAGGGGGCGGAAAAATGCAAATAGCCACCAAAAGAAAGCTTTCCTGAGAACAGAGCTAATTTTTCTAATCACAATGCTAATATTTCATATTCTTCTTTTTTCTATATACCTTAAACATACCTAGACCAAGGCTTCCCAACCGTGGCGCTCTCAAACACACGGAACGGGGTAATCGTGTGTGTCCTGGGCACGCAGGATGTTTAGCGGCTCCCCAAGCCTCGATCCACCAGATGCCAGCAGCACCCTGGCCATCCACCAACAGTTCACCAGACACTGCCCCAAATTCCCCCAGCTAGGAGCCGCTGTCTAACCTTAGATACAAGTTCATTCTCAAGTACTTCTGCAATAACACTGTAATCTTTAGTGTTTCCTATTTTCTTTCTTAACCAAAAATTAAGTCCGGCCAAACAAATGGAGAGCTTCACAGTCAACTTTTCACACACACCCTCCTAAAACTGGATATTTTTTTGGCCTTAGTCTTAGCTATAAGCAGTTACTGGTACGCACGGAAACAGGTCTGTGCACGAAGTGGTAAGATGAGACATACATTCTTAAAACAGTGTAAAAGTTGCTACAGATAACACCATTATCCACACAGTAATTTGATAAGCATTTATTAAACGCCTACTGTGTGCTCAGTAGGCACTACGGGGTGCAGAGATACAAATGCAAAATTATGACTCCTGCCCTCAAGGAGCTTACAGTTTAATTTTAGAAATACATATAAATGTGAAAGTAGACAGGGTGCTAGGGACAACTACGCCGCCGCGTGTCGGGAAGTGCAGGGACCAGAGCCACGCTGAGGATCGGCCTGAGGCAGCACAGCGGGAGGGACACG